GATTAATCATATTTCAATGCATTCCTATGGGAAATGGAGCTTTGACTTACGACCATTTCGAGTTACGATCATCTTCCGGAATGGATTATGGTCGTAAGTTGAGGCACCACTGTATTTTGCTATCTAAAAGTCTGGGTGGGCCTTTTTAAAAAAAGCACCAAATTTGGCACAGTTGCAGCAGACACTCTGCTTCTGCTCTGTGCCAAATCTGGGGGAAGTTTGGACAAAAGTTTTGAGTTTTTTAGAAGTACAGCTGGCTTAACATCCCCTGCAATTCAGAAACAGGCAGCCCCAAACAACCCCAGATACAAAATAGATAATATAAATAGAAAAGAACAATCTAGTTTATCTTGAAAGGTCTCCACCCACTTTTTATTGGAAATAATCCAAGCTGCAGGGGCTGAAAAACTGATCCTCAAAAAAGGCCTTTCAAAGGGAAAGAACAGCCACTTTGTTCTAGGACTGTGAGCATGCAGTTTATAGGCTTGCTAGCAGGATATTTGTGAAATAAAACAGTGTACAGATTTGTGGGTGGGGGAGGGAGATATTTGGAGAGAAAGGTCAAAGAAACAGAGTGGATTTTTTTAAGATTACATTTTTTTTTGCTTTAAATAAAATTTTCAAAGGTGAAATCAGCTCCAGTCTTAACCAATCTGAACTTTTGATCATGTCAATCAGGACCAAATTAGCTGATGTTTAAATTCCTTTCTGGCTAAACAGGCATATCAGAATCATGTTTGCAAGGGGATTCTGTGGAAATATGTGGAGACACAAAATATGGAGACACAAAAAGAACATTAATTTAAAAAAATTGAAAATGCTTTAAATACAGTGGTGCCTCGCTTAACGATTACCTCGTTAAACAATGAATCCGCTTGATGATGAAGTTTTTGCGATCGCGAAACGATGTTTTAATGGGAAAAATTCACTTAACGATGATCGGTTCCCTGCTTCGGGAACCGATTTTTTGCTAAACAATTATTTTAAAGCAGCTGATCGGCGGCTCTCAAAATGGTCGCCCGCTGTGCAAAATGGCTCCCCGCTGTGTTTAGGATGGATTCCTTGCTTAACAGGCACCGGAAAATGGCCGCCCTATGGAGGATCTTCACTGGATGATTAGGCATTTAGCCCATTGGAATGCATTAACTGGTTTTTAATGCGTTCCAATGGTTTTTCCCCCCCGCTTGACAACGATTTTGCTCTATAATAGTGATTTCGCTGGAACGGATTAATGTCGTCAAGCGAGGCACCACTGTATGTATACTAGAAAAAAGAATGCAGAACAAATATTTAGAAGTTTTTTCATTCAGGCTGTGAACTTGTTGTTGTTGCTTTGTGTTTGGGGATGGTCTTACTTGATGTTAGCAGAGCTTTGATGTCTATATCCTGTCATAGTCTCCATTCTTCCCATCTTGTCACTATGCAGTTGCCCAACAATTAAAAAAACCCTCCAAAGATATTACATGCCATCAAGTCACTTCTGATGTTTGGAGATTATGAGTTAATAACCTCTCAAATGTTCTATCATTAACAGCTCTGCTCAGATCTTGCAAACCAACATCATCTCATGTTACTTTTTTCTTTCTTCCTACTGTACTTCCTTACCCGCTTCCTAGCAATATGGTTTCCCCCCCAATAAAGTATCCTTTATGTATCTTGGTGTTGTCTTTAAAGTGAATGGGCTCAAAAGGCCCATGCAGAATATGTTGCCCAAGCAGGATAAATATCTGCTTCTGCAATAGGTTTTTTTTTTTTTTTTTGGCACAAGGAAACCATTACTGCTTTAAAACGGTTCCAGGCCAAATCTCTTCGTCAGCTTCTTCATGATGCACAACTGGGCCCTTATTCTCCTTTTATTCCCCTGGAAGTAGTTCGAAGATGACTTTTGACAGTTATTCTACAAGTACCCAGCTGGGTCTCAAATACAGCTCTGTGGGGTAACTGAAGGTTGAAACTAGGGTTTGGCTAGTTATCTTCAGTTTTTGGTTGAAGCCAATTTTTCCCCAATAGGCTTAACTACCAAGCAATTATCAGCCAGTTTGGAAGAAAGCTCAATTTGCTAAACTTAGAGGCTTCTCTATGGAATACCTTCTCCATATGGTGTTTGCTGCAGCTGGTCTAGCCCACAGATAATGTATTGCAGAGCAGGAGAGGCTGTATGTACGGTACTGTATATAAAATATAAAATATTTTCGCATGTATTACAGGAACTGGCCACTAGAGGAGTAACTATGCAATGTAGGTATTAAAACCATGGTCTCTGGTGCCCTCAGGTTCTGGTAACACATGTGGAAATGGTTTTGTTTTGTTTTTCCTTTTAATATTTTGTATATTTTCAGACTGTAGATATGGTGTGGCTACTGTACATAGAATGGTCACTGGTGCCCTCCAGTGGCCAGTTGTGCCAATGCATGTGAAAGTAAAAGTGAAGTGAACGTTTTTTGGTTGTTGTGGGTTTTTCGGGCACTTTGGCCGTGTTCTGAAGGTCGTTCTTCTTGACGTTTTGCCAGTCTCTGTGGCTGGCATCTTCAGAGGACAGGAATTAGAACTCTGTGCTCTGGTGAGCACTACTCCTGATGTCTGAAGATGCCGGCCACAGAGACTGGTGAAACGGTAGGAAGAAAAATGTTTGGAACACGGCCAAAGAGCCCAAAAAAACTACAACAACCATTAGATCCTTCACCAATACATTGAAAGTTTTTTCTTTGCTCTCTCTCTCTCTCTCTCTCTCTCTCCACACACACACACACACACACACACATTACACATATATAGCAATAGGTATAATGTTTTCAGTATCCATGGTAGCTTGGAAGCAATCGCCAGTGGACATGCGGGCCTTTATTTTTATTTACTTTCAGTCCAAAAGCATCATAGAGGTTTTACTCTTGCCTGACTAAATGCTATGCCACCAGCAGTCCAGAAGAGGAAGTTTAAAAAGATCCTAAACCGTCAACACAAATGTCCTCGTAAGAACATAAGAAGTGCCCTGCTGGATCAGTCCAAGGGCCCATCTAGTCCAGCTCCCTGTATCTCACAGTGGCCCCACCAGATGCCTCTGGGAGCACAGGAGACAACTAGATGGCTGTCTCCTTGTAACCCGGGAGGAAATGGGAACAATAGTTCATGCTCTTTCCATTGTCCTTTTTATCTTGATATTTGGAAAATATGTAATTATTTTATGTTTTTAGGGTAATAGCAATTCAGATCCTTGGAATAATATTTTATACATTCATGGTTTGTCCGTATTTCAGATATTGGTCATTGACTGTAATAAAGTTTATCTGTCTCATTTTAGTTTGTACAGTACTCTCTTCCGACTTCCTTGCGATTTTGTCTTTTCCAAAAAGTTCTACTGAGATCTTGCAAACTAACAGCTGTGGATTAGTTTGCTGAGTCAACCCATCTCATGTTAGGTCTTCCTCTTTTCCTACAGCCTCCACCCCCACTTTTGCCCACAATATTGTCTTTTCCAATCAGTTCTATATTCTCATTATATGTGCAAGCTAAGGTAGCCTCAACTTACTGATTTTTCCTCTAGGGAGTTCAGATTTGACTTGATTCAATACCTACTTGCCCTTCTGGTGGTCTCCTCCAACACCACATTTCAAATGAGTTGTTCCCTCACCACCACCAGTCTTTCTTCACTGCCTTTTACTAGTATGGGTGACTTTGACCTTGGTTTCAAGCAACAACCCTTCAAAATATTTTGGCACAGAGGGACTGCAGCAACATTCCAGATGCTCTTGGTTCTGCCCTCCCCAAGAAACCATATTATAGGTTATGTGATAATCTTCCAGGATCCTCTAACACTAGGTAACCTGCTCTTGGAATTTATGTGTAGTTTATTTATACTTTCATTTTACAAAGCCAGGACTCTTTCAAAAAGCCTCTGGTTTATGGATATAGGATATTGTGCTTCCATATCCAGGACTCAGAATGCCTGTGTTGCCAGCAGGAAAAAGGATGCCAAACTTTACATAGCAAAGGGCAACCTGAACATTGACAACACCAAGGGCTGCAATCAAGATGGTCTACTACGGCATTAGCGTTATCTCAAAATCCGGATTTGCTGTGCCCCACTCTTGAGCATAAAAGATCATTGACCATGAAGGAATATGGCTGAGATTTCTTTCTCCATATAGATGGCTGGGTGTGCTGTGTATTGGGCTGCATGATGCAGAATCACTCCAAATTAATATAAATGCCTTGGGGAATCAACAGTCTAATAATGCCTTTCAACTTCACAGAAATGTACTTGAGTGCACAAAGTGAATCTGAAAGCCAAATTTTTTTTATGACTTTGTCACTTCAAACAATAGATGCCTAGAGAATAGTGAAAAACAGCCCTGACAATTGCTTTGTATATGGGCGAGAAGTGGTTAACTGAGGGGAGGAAAGGAGTCAGGTTCTAGAATGTTCTCTGCTTGTCTCTTTGTGAGTGACAGCAAGCAAAAGAGAACATCCTGTAGACCAGTGGTCCACAACCTTTTACAGACCAGATCAGCAGGCAGGCGGGGAAGCATTCATGGGTGCATGGGTGCGGTGTGTGTGCGTCTGTGCATGGGCGGGCCGTGCGTGCATGGGTGGGGCATGCGTCTATGTGGGGTGGGCGTATGTGCGTGCAGGGGTGCATGCACGCGGGGGGGGGAGAGCTATGTCTCCGCAACCTGGTCCTGCCAAGGACATAGCCTAAACTCCTTTGATGTCAGACTGCCTTTTGCTATGTAAAGTTTGGTACCCCTTTTCCTGCTAAGAAAGCAGGAAGAATATTGTGTAGCCGTATCAGGCATTTCTTGGTTTTTTTAATTTTGAACGAAGAAGCACAATATTTCACATTCATAAACTAGAGGGTTTCTTAAGAATTGAATTAACTACATGTATAAATGAAGACTTTGCTAGCAATTTTTCAGTGTAACACTAAGACTATTTAAAGTACACTATGAAACCTAATAATGCCTGGATAGCGAATGGTAGATTATAATTGAGATGCTGACTAAGAAAGAGTGTGAAGTATTTATTTCACAATGTGTTAGGAGCAAAAACTTGCACATTGGCAGACATCATTTTCAGAACATCAGATATACCACACTGATCAAGACTGCTGCTACCTAATCATCATCATGTAACTTCTTAATCTTTGACTTATGACGCTCAATTTCCTTCTGCAGACGCTCTATTTCTTCCTTATGGTGATGTATTTCTTCTTCATGATGTTTTCTCAGTTGTGTCAACTGCTCTTTCTGTAGCTTCCTACAACAGTATGATATAAATTAAGTAGATCACAGTATTCTCAGCTAGTGACAAACTGGAAAATATCAAAGCATATGTAATTGGCAGTCATCCACTCCTACATGCAGTACTGTATGTCATACAGCTATTAGAGGTATTTACAATACTATACTAAAGCCAGGATACATGCTTCTTACACCTTGCCTCATATTTTAATTAACAAGACACAATAATAAAATAATTAGCCTGCCTCTTCCAGAGAGTTCATAATGAGTCAGAAAATAGCTAGTAAAAGCCAATACTGTTTTTCTAAATTTGTTAGTGAATTTCAGCTCTACAAGTATTTTTTTTTAAATTAAGGTCATTATAGTGTTATATTCTCTCCTCTTTCCCATTTTATAATCACAGGGGCCAGAGAGCGGAAGGAAGCTTTTTCATTATTTTATTTATTTTATTTAAAAGCATTTGTGGAGGAATTTGGTGAGCTGAACGCATGTATGCAGCCCCTAGATCTCTGGAAAGTCAACAGGTTACGAATGACAAATTTCAAGAAAATGCCTATTTCAAAGACTTAACAGCTGTTTTAAAATAAAGAATAACAATCCTGGGGATTGCCAAATTTCCATAGAGAAGCGGCACAAAAGAATAGAGGAGAGAAAAGCAAGCTGTGGAAGGGGTTTTCCCTCCCCACCTCCTGTTCTCTCAGTCTCCATTTCCAGCCAAATCCATCTGTTTCATTGTTGCAAAAAAAAACAAAAACAAAAAACCAGAAATGCAAGTCTCCCGTTTTGTTTAATATTGCAAGCTTTTAAACAAAATCCTATATAACCTTAAGGTGCAAAAAGAAAAATATATCTGAGGATTTTATAATCTAGAGCTCATATCAGATACGTGATGTTCTGTTCTTAACACAGATAAAAAGAGGCTTTTTACCCACAAACTTCAATCGATCCATGAAACAAAAATGGCAAGGCCAGCAGTTAATGAAGTCCAGGGATCGGTGCCCGAGGCCGTCCTATGCGAACTTTTAAATTGCATACGATGCAAAAGCGAAGGACACCTTACCTGAAATATCGCTCTTCCTCGGCGGCTTCCTTTTTCCCAAAGGCGCCGCCAGCGTCGCGGATAGCTCCGCTCTTGTCGCTGTCGAACTGGAGAAGAGAAGGGAAGAGAAGGGAGGAGGAGGCCGGCATGAGGAAGCCTTTTCCTTGCCCTCCTATGACGGCCTGCCTACCCACCCACCCTCCTTCCCTACAGGTGAGGCCCAGAAGGTGGAGGAGACACCGGACGGACAACACCCCCCACATACACACACACCTCCGGCCTCCCCCTACCTTGTCAGGGCCGGAGCTCCAGCCGCGCTGTTGCTGGGGCAAAGCCACAGCGCCTCGCAAGCCACACCTCAGCACCGAACCTACCGCAGCCATCGCAGCTCCGTCCTTGGAGGCGTGGGGGGGGGGCGAGCGAAGCTGAACCAAAGCCACTTCCGAGGTCATCACGGGGAAGGCGGGCATAAGGAAAGCAGAGGCCAATCAGAGCAAAGACTAGGGAGCGAGCGGGCCAATCAGCCGTACTCTTTGAAGGTCATGGGAAGAAGAAGAGAGGAAGGAGAAACCAAAGAGATAGGAAAGGAAGAAGAAAAGGCCAGTTATGGTCAGAGTTAATTTCCGGTATTGTGTTGCAAATTTTTTTTATTTGGCTGCGGTGGTGTAAGCCAAGATAAAGGCATGTCTGGCCCTACAGGCAGGTATGGGTTTTTTTGGGCCGACAAATCCAAACCCCTGACCCTCCGCCCAGCGTAGCTAATGGCAAGGTGTTGTGGAAGTTGTAGTCCTAAAGTTCTGGAGAGGCAGCCGTCCCCCTTCCCCTATCTAAGCTAGACTGAACAAAAAGGCTCATAGATTTGAGACACTGTCAGGTGTATGAACGCTAAGTGGACGTGGATAGGATTCTGCAGTCAGGCTCCATGTCTGTGCATGTTTATTACAAAACGATACTAGACTTATTGGAGCTTAGCCACTGGCAGGTATGTACAGGATTGCTTTGCCAATCCATTGTACTTTAATGCAACTGTACACATTTCTGTAACATGTGCACCAGCGGTTCTTAACCTTTCACCACAGACCCCCTTTAAATATCTTTTGTTGCCGCAGACCATCAAGACTTAACTCAAGATCATATGTCCAATGGAGCACAGTAAGCTTGCTTTGTTATGGATGTGCTTTTGTCCAATTGCAGCGCAAAGTAAATTCTTGTAAATTCTTATTAATACAATTGTTCCTTGATATTGGTTGACAAACTGTCAATTCGCTTCTTGTTGATCAATGCACCTGATCTTTGCAGCAGGTCAACTAAGTTATTCAGCTACTGTGTGGGGTTTTCTGGTTTTTGCTATTAGTTGAGAAACTTCAAATGAGGCCTTCACTGCATTTTCATTGTTACAACAGTTGCAGTCTTTTAAACCATTTTCTTACGTTTCAGATTCAGCCAGCAATCCATTCAGAGGCTCAGTAAAAATATATTGTCACAAAATTCACTGCGTTAATATCAAAAAAATCAATTCACCTGCCAATAATGAAAATATTTTATTAGGAGAAATTGAAGAAGAACCAAAATCACAAAGTCCATCTGAACACTCATGCACACTGACACTGACTGACTCCAGCTCTCAATATCTGGCAGAGCGCCTTCTCCCACCCAGCTCTACCAGAGGCACTCATTCTAGCCAGGCCAGGCAACTGAGGGGCCGAACGCTGAGGGAGGCCCGAAAGGAAAGAATGAGGAACCGGGCCTTCTCGGCAGTGGCCCCTTGCCTCTGGAACAACTTGCCCCTAGAGATCTGCCTGGCTCCCTCTCTGGGTGTCTTTAGAAGTAAACTAAAGACATGGTTATTTAAGCAGGCTTTCCCTCCTGCTGTATTTTAATATCTATATTTTTACATCTTGGATTTTCATATGTTATTGGTTTTATTGTTTTTAAACTTTGTTATGCCGCCCAGAGTAGACTATCTGTCTAGTATAAATCTAATAAATAAATAAATAAAATAAATCTCTTCCCACGGCTTCTGACTGTGCAGTAGCAAAAAAGTCACATGCTGCCTCTCAGTCAGTCAGCATAATTCACTTGCATGTTCTCACCGTCTGCAGAAATATCAAACAGTTATTTGTTATCAAACAGTTATTTTCATAACTGATTTTTACTTTTGTTTGTTTTTAATGTTTGGTTAGAAAACCTACGTTTCACACAAACTAGCAAGGAAAATTAAGATTTTGTTCCACGATTCTTGCTTTCTTTCATCCATTATTCTTTCTATTTTAACTGTAAAACATCATAGCATTTCTTCAAGCCTTCACAGACCCCCTGTGAGGACACTGTTCCCCCCTCCAGAGGTCTGTGGATCACAGATTAAGGACCTAGGATATCTGTGAAGATTCTCAGTCATCCAGGTGAGGTTATCTGGAGGTGGAGTCATGGCAAGTGAACTTCTTTCTTATTAGGTTGGAAAGTTTTGCTACACATCCAAGTGAAGAAGAAGCTACTTGGATGAGTAGCGAAATATTTTAACCTAATAAAAAAGAAGTCCAGTTGCCATGATTCAACTTCCAAAGGACCTAGAATGTACACAACCCCTTTCAATTCCAGTTGGACTTTCCACATCAGGTATCTTGAATTAATGCCAGTCTGATCTTTAGAGAGTAAGAGAATGACTTCTCTTCTCTGACTTTTTGAGAGCCAAAGTTATGGAACGGATCCTCCAAAATAAATTATACTACTGGTATAAAAATTAGTTTTGGTGCTATATGTCATAGCACTATAATCAAGGGTGAGTTGCATGTGCCAAAAAAAAACTGAGTGTGGCTAATGCCTGAATTATGATGCATCATAATTACTGATCTTTTAAATAGTTTGGTATAAGGGGATCAGTGGTTGATTCAAGAAAATTATTATTTTTAGGAAAAAAATCGATACGGATGCACCTGTACTTATTTATTTGCATTTTTCCGGGGCTGTTTGTCTGTGAAAGAAATATATTGCCTATGACTAAAATGTTCTGAAAATCTACACCTTTTAAAAAAACATTAAGTATAACACCATGCCTGAAAACTAGCACTCCTCATAAGATAGGCCCTACATAATTGAAGACCTATGGATCCCCAAAATCCATTTTCCATAGTGTATCCAGATGTCCTTTGGAATGTCATAAGCAAGTCATAAGAAAAATGGACCACTGCTTAGCACCCAGTCCTGTACCCCAGTGGAGTCCAAGAGGTTGGGAATTTGATTCCCCACTGTGTCCTGTGAACAGAGCCAGTCTGTGTGACCTTGGGCAAGTTGCATAGTCCCAGGGCACCCTCAGAAAAAGGGAATGGTCAACCACTTCTGAGTATTCTCTATCTGGAAAACCCTGAAAAGGGTCATCATAAATCAGAATTGACTTGAAGTCTAATCATCATCATCATCATCATCATCATCATCATCATCATCATCATCATCATCATCATCATCATTATTAAGAAACACCCGGCACAGTCAAAATTATAAAAACATTGACTGGCATTATATAATGGATACAATTTTTAACCAAAAAACTAAGTATTACTACCATAGTGGTAGCTGTTGTTGTTGTTGTCACCCGCCATTGATAGCCTTACTGGACCACATCTTCGTTATGCAATCTAGTGCAACTCCCGAGATTCCTTTTCAAGTCAATCACTGCCCACTGAGAAATTAGTGCAAATTTTCCAGAGGAGTTACCCACAAATGAAAGGGCGCCTGAGGAGGGACATGACTGAGATGTATAAAATTATGCAGGGAATGGATAAAGTGGATAGAGGGAAGGAAGCTCTTTTCCCTCTCGCACAATACCAGAACCAGGGGACATCCACTCCAACTGAGTGTTGGGAGAGTGAGAACAGACAAAAGAAAATATTTATTTACCCAGCGTGCTGTTTATTCTGTGGAACTCCTTGCCACAGGATGTGCTGCTTATATGTGCTTAAAGCAAAATCTCGTAGTGCTTAAAGCTCTCTCTGGGCCGTTTACAGTCTATCGTCATGCAGGCTACAGAGAGCTGGGTGCTCAGTTTTGCCGACCTCGGAAGAAGGGATGATTCAGGCAACTTTGAGCCGGCTACCTGAGTCCCCGTTGGCACTCAGAGCAGGAGCGGTCCTTGCTCTGCAGTTTGTGCTGGGATTGAAAATTGTCGCGAAATTCGTTCCAGAAACCGAAAACTTTTCACCTGACTAATATTTTATTCCGCCTACAGCCGCCGTCAGCCCCGCCCGGCGTAGCCCATAGTGGAGGGTGAGGGGAGCGAGAGCCCAACATCGCGCCCCCCCCTTCCCGTGCTCCGTTGCTCTGTTGACCTGCTGCAACTTTGCTTTCTGGCTTGACAGGAGATGAGAGAATGAGGAACCTCCTTATTCGTACCCTGTCCCTTTAAGAGCCTCCCTCCCTTCTTTGCCCTCCCCTCCAGGAAAGGGGGGGGAGAGAAAGAAAGCGCCTGGTCACGTGCCGGTGAGCCTGCGGTCAAAAGACTCGGGCGCCCGCGTTGCGTGAAAGAGGGGCGCGTGCGCGTGCGCAGGATCACGTGGTGCTCGAGATGGCGGCTCCGGCGGAGACCGAGGCGGGCGGCGGAGCGGAGGAGGCGTTTCTCACCTTCTACACTGAGGTGAAGCGGACTTGCTCCGTTTCCGTAGGGCGCCGAGTTTCCCTCCTTGCCCCGGCCGCTTCAGGCCTTATTCTCTGTAGGTTGCGGGGCTGGCGGCCGGGCCTAGGCCGGCTTCCTCCCCACCGCTTGGGCCTCTTCTTTCGGGCCGGCGGAGGCTCCTGAGGGGGTACCTGCCGGTCCTGGTCCGCGGCGGCGTCCCCCGCCTTCCCCACTTTTCTGACCCTTTTCCGTTGAACAAGCCTGGTTGGGAGCCTTCGTCGCTGGAAAGATAACTGGCTGCCCTCGGCCCGGAGTGTTGTGACAGGTGGTGCGGAGGGGCTGGCCTTCATCACCAGAGAAGGGCAGGACGGAAATTGAGGACGGGGGGGGGGAGGGAGGGAGGGAGGGAGGTCAGCTAGAGTTAAAAATGTGTGTCTTAAAGATAGTATGATATGGTTTGAGTGTTGGTCCGGGGTGTGTGTGGAAGATCCAGGTTTATGCCACCGGTCTAACATGAAATTCAATGAATTTGATTGAGCCAATCACACGCTCATGGTCTAACCGCCTTCAGGAAAGATTAGGTGTAAATGTGGCTCATGAATAAACAGATTTTTTTAAATAAAGTAAAACTGTAAATGGTGACTTGGAACCAAATCCCTCTAAAGTTTAGTTGCTTCTTACTCCAATGGAAGTGTGTATAGTATTGTTTTAAATAATTATAGATGGCCCTGTTATGCTCATTTGCCTGGGAGTACAGTACTTAGAGGAAACGATTGCTGACTAGACATAGCTAGAATTTAAATGCCATTAAAGGTTTCAGAACAGACATAGCTAGAATTTAACAGTAAACATTATTGGCTATGTTGCTGTATTTTATATAAAATGTGCTTGCTATATATTGAATAGTGCCTCTATATAGAATAGTGCCTCTACAGTTTAGATATGTCTACACAAAAGGAAAGGGTTGGAGGCACAGTTTAAGAACATAATCAGAGGGTTGAAGTCTAGTGTGTTAATGTTATTTTATTTATTTAAAACTGTTTTAGCTTGTCCTATATTGCAACATCTCAGGGCAGGTTACAGATTACATATAGTAATCTTACTGTGACATTTTTTTCAGTGTGTTTAAGATGGTGTTTTGAGCAGTCCTTTGAAAATGGTTGGCCTAAGTCTATGTGTGTGGTAATTGACATGGAGATTTCCAGTGGCTTCCTACTTTGAAAATGACTTTTTTATAGTAATGCAAAGAGAAGCCTGTGTCTGAGTCTGTATTTAAACTAGGATCCTGTGATAACACAGCAGTCTGGAACGTAGTATACAGAACAGATTGTTTGAATTTGTTTGTCTTATAGAAGTCTGTGCATTGATCAACCAAAATACTTGACATACAGAAGATAAAATAGTGTTGTTCTGGTTCAAACCATTCTGTGTAACTACTGTCCATTCTCCTTTTATCTTTAGTGGATTAAGGTGGGGGGAATAACCCTATACAGTACATTACTGAATGTATGTATCAGCAGTCCTGTATTTGTTTTGTTACCTGTTGAACTATAAAATGAGATTTATTGAAGCCTATATGCTTTTCAGTTGTGTTGGAATTTATCAACTGTGATGCAGTTATCTGAAAGGTACACTGACCATCAGCCCATATAGTCAAGCATTGTCTCTACTAATTAGGAGTAGCTCTCCAAAATATATGATTTAAACATCTTTAAATCAGTTTTGAAGCTTGATATCTTTGTATCTCAAAGTGCTGAGAACTTTCCACATGCATAACAAACACTAAGTCACTACAGGTAGTATAATAGCAACTGTCACTATTGAAGATGTTTTAATCTTTGTAGGTTAAACAAATAGAAAAGCGCGACTCTGTTTTAACATCAAAGAACCAGATTGAGAGGCTTACTAGGCCTGGCTCATCCTATTTCAATCTGAATCCCTTTGAGGTAAGAATGTTACTTGCTAATTGTGTGATAAGGAATGACAGTTATCCCAGTACAAAGCTGTCATTTTTTTTTCAAATAAGTAGAAACTACATTTTTATACCTGTGTTTCAGTTCTCAGTCCCAGTTATAGGTAGGCAGTTAATGAAAATTATATCAACTCTTCAAAGTAGTATCACTAAACTAAGGAAAAAGACAGTTGCATCCTAGTTGCTGGTCCTTTTGTCCTTGTTTGTAGGCTTGGTGAAACAGAATAGAATAAATATTTTTCCCTTTCAAGCCCTCTTGGAAATTATGCTTGATGGTGTACTATAGTAATTTTTAAATGTTCCAGTTCTATATTTGGATTTGCAAATGTGAAACACAACACAATGTTGCAGTGAAGTGCTCCTGTTCAGTGCTCCAGCCAGCGGTGCCTTTTCCAGAATACTCCATCCCATTCCTTCCTTTGGACACTTTTAAGACTCTGCTGTTATGCCCCTCCTCCATTTATTTGCAAGGTTGTGTTTTTTCTGGAATATGTGAATATTTTCCTTTTATACTGTATATTGATGGTGCAGTTTGTTATGCATAAGGGTCCACATTTGGAAAATGCATTTGTTATGAATTTCCTAGGGCATTCTGTTGTATGAGAAGTCATTTCTATAAGTTTCTCTGCCGCTGTTATCAATACTGCAGCCCCACCTATTGAAATGTAACTGTATAGCTGAAAAAGCTGAATGTAGTTATAGTGATTTAAATACGTTCAGAACTGGAGCACTTATGATTGTGTGTTTTGCGTCTTTTCAAGGTGTTGCAGCTGGATCCTGAAGTTACAGATGAAGAAATAAAGAAAAGATTCCGTCAGGTACATAACTCTTGCGTTAATATCAATTTGATGATATGAAGGGTCTTGGCATTTCAAATTAGAATTGTTTTATAAATATTATGTAATTACTGCTTGTGTAGGTTATATCCAAAACGCTCTTGATTTGAGGATTCAGTTGTTGTGTTGCATTTGAAGATTCACTTTGAATGTTTGCATATCTGGGTTATAAAGCATTTCAGCCTGTGGTTGCCAATATAGTTGGGCAAACAGTAGAAGGCTGTAATATAGAGCAAAGACTATGCACTTGACCTATTTTAATAAACATCAGTATGTCCACTGTGATTTACAGCTATCCATACTGGTACACCCTGACAAAAACCAAGATGATCCCGAAAGAGCACAGAAGGCATTTGAAGGTAACTGCTGAATTTTCTGTGTTAACCACAAATATTAATCCTATGGTAAAATGATTGTGACTTGCTTTGATTGAAAGAGAGACACATAATGTGCTCTGTTGCTTTTCTGAAAATGAACATGGCACAGTGGTTAAACTGCTGTACTGCAGCCAAAACTGTGCTCACGACCTGGGGTTCACTCCCAGGTAGCCGGCTCAAGGTTGATTCAGCCTTCTATCCTTCTGAGGTCGGTAAAATGAGTACCCAGCGAGCTGGGCGGGGGGGGGGGGCAATGTGTAGCCTGCATAATTAACTTGTAAACCGCCCAGAGAGTGCTTGAAGCGCTATGGGGCGGTATATAAGCAGTACGCTTTGCTTTTGCTTTTTGTTTTCTGGCTACTTCAAGTTATGTGTATCTGCTGATGGTAATTTTTACTTTTGTTAGCTGTCGACAAAGCATACAAGTTGTTGCTGGACCAGGAACAAAAGAAGAGGGCCTTGGATGTGATACAGGCTGGAAAGGAATATGTAGAACACATTGTAAGTATCATGAGTGACAGGCAGACTAATCTGAGGGAGAGGATCAAATACAGTATGTCACTGAAAGCTTTCATGTTCTCTCACAGTAGTTCAAATTCTAACAGAGCTCTGCCCTATTTTATTCATGGCAACCCTAATCAAAGTTTGCTGTAATTCTGAAATAGATCTTTTTTTTTATTAGAGAGTTTTAAAGTCTTGCCAGATTCAAAAGTTGAGAACTGTTTTCAAATTTCAGGAATTTGATAGATAGTAATTATTGTACATGTGATTTATTTTAGCGCTATTGTTGACTTTTTGATCAGGATCCTGTTCAGTTACTTAGCTTGCACAGCAGTCTGTTGCATGAAGAGTTCAACATCTAGGCCTGTATAATGAAGAATCAATTACCGCTTAAAGCACGCAGAAATTCTGTTCATTTCATTGGGCTTCTTCTTCAATCTCTGTTAATGCATCAGAGGTCTAGTGGAACTGTGCCATCAGAGCATTATGTTGTGCTGGTATTCAACAAGATTCTGCCTTATGCTTTGTCTCCAGAGTTGAGAGACGGTACTTTAATTGATCTACAAATTGTACAGAAGCTTTCTCCTTAAAATCACTAGAGTGAAATGGAGATGAGACTACTGAAAGTGAATATGTACAATCCTAGAGATAAAATTGGAATGGGTTATACAGTATTCCCTTATTTAAACATTTCTGTGTATGTGCTGGCTAGAGATAAAATTGTTATGGGTTATATTTCCTTATTTAAACATTTCTGTGTATGTGCTGCTAATGGCCTTTGTGTCAGCAACATGTTCTTCAATACGAAGCTTCAACACAGAGTTTCTTAGAGACGTCCAAGATCCAAGGAGACAGGGGCAACTGCAGTAACTACCGTGGCATCTCTCTTCTCACCGTTGTAGGGAAGCTGCTTGCCCGTGTTGTGCTGAAGAGGCTCCAGGCACTTGCATAGAGAGTCTATCCAGAATCACAGTGTGGATTTCGAGCTAATAGATCCACCACTGACATGTTATTCTCCTTCAGACAGTTGCAGGAGAAATGCAGGGAACAACAACAGCCATTATTTGTGGCCTTCATAGATCTCACAGAGGCCTTTGATTTGGTTAGCAGGGATGGCCTTTTTAAAATACTTCCCAAGATTGGATGTCCACCCTGACTCCTCAACATCATCAGGTCCTTTCATGAGGGAATGAAGGGCACTGTAGTTCTTGATGGCTCAACATCAGATCCCTTTGACATCTGAAACGGAGTGAAAGAGGGCTGTGTTCTTAATTGGAAAGCTCTTTACTCTCTCTAGACTGAGAGCAAAGACCAAAGTCCAACTGAAATGCATGCAGGACTTCCTCTTCGCTGATGATGTAGCCGTTGTTGTCCACTCTGCTGAAGACCTCCAACAACTCATGAATTGTTTTACCAAGGCCTGCCAAGACTTTGGACTAACAATTAGCCTGAAGAAAACACAAGTCATGGGCCAGGGTGTGGACTCGCTTCCCTCTATTGCCATCTCCATGCAAGAATTGAAGGTTGTTCACGACTTTGTGTACCTCGGCTCAACGATCTCTGACACTCTGTCCCTAGATGTTGAGCTGGATAAATGCATTGGCAAAGCAGCTACCATGTTCTCAAGACTCACAAAGAGAGTATGGCTGCATAAGAAGCTGACAGCATATACCAAGATCCAGGTCTATAGAGCCTGTGTCCTGAGCACATTCCTGTACTGCAGTGAGTCCTGGACTCTTTGTGCATGGCAGGAGAGGAAGCTGAACACGTTCCATATGCATTGTCTCTGACACATTTTTGGTATCAACTGGCAGGACAAAGTTCCCAATAGAATAGTCCTAGAACGAGCTGGAATTTTTAGCATGTCTACATTACTGAAACAGCAATGTCTATGTTGGCTTGGGCATGTTGTGAGAATGGCTGATGGTCAGATTCCAAAAGATCTTCTGTATGGAGAAGTAGTGCAGGGAAAGCGCCCCAGAGGGAGACCACAGCTGCGATACAAGGATATCTGCAAGTGGGATCTGAAGGCCTTAGGAGTGAACCCCAACAGATGGGAAACTCTGATATCGGAGAGTTCAGCCTTGAGGCAGGCGGTACATCATGGCCTCTCCCAATTTGAAGAGACCCTTGTCCAGCAGGCCAAGGCAAAGAGGCAGTCCTAAAAGTAGTAAAATCAGGGAAATGGACAGGAGACAGCTTGTATTTGTCCTCATTGTGGAAGGGATTGTCACTCTCGGTGAACCCCAACAGATGGGAAACTCTGATATCGGAGAGTTCAGCCTTGAGGCAGGCGGTACATCATGGCCTCTCCCAATTTGAAGAGACCCTTGTCCAGCAGGCCAAGGCAAAGAGGCAGTCCTAAAAGTAGTAAAATCAGGGAAATGGACAGGAGACAGCTTGTATTTGTCCTCATTGTGGAAGGGATTGTCACTCTCGAATTGGCTTTCTCAGCCACACTATGGTAACGTACAGAGCACGTTACCATAGTCTCTCGAGACTGAAGGATGCCAAACATATGCTAATTTAGAGACAAGGTGTGGGCATCACAAGATTGCAAAAACGGTCAGCTATTCTGTGTTCCCTCTGATGGTACGATTAAAAAAAGAGTCAAAAATCCCCCACAGTCCAGTCCACCACTGTAAAAAATGCAGTACACCTTCCAGCTATTTTCATGGCTTGTTCATAATTATTTTGTATGTAATCCACTCTGTTTACCCTAACTGGTCAAGACCCTGTTGATACATGGCAGGAGAAGTGATCATTGTCAATTAGCTGTTGCAATTTCCTTGATTATTTTGCCTGTGTAGCCTAATTACACTGGTGTGATACAGTGAGTGTAACTTTTGAAGAGGAATGCCTCAACAAGACATCTCTATAGACTTGTTTGTTTGTTTGTTTGTTTGTTTGTTTGTTTGTTGATTGATTGATTGATTGATTGATTGATTGATTGATTGATTGATTGATTGATTGATTTTGTACCCCGCCTATCTAGTAGAATGACCACTCTGTTAGGTCCTGAATTGCACACTGACACAATTTTCATAATTTCTAGCTCTGTACACCACCACAATAGATTTGAAATGAAACAACCAAGATGCAATTGTAGTGCAGATTTTGATGTTTAATTCAAGGGACTGTACAAAAATATTGGATGTAATATTTAGGAACTGCAGCCATTTTCATAAATAGTCCCCTTATTTCAGGGGCTTAAATGTAATTGGATTAATTATCACAATCATAAATACAATGTTCCATTTTTAATACTTTGCTGAGAATCCTTTGCAGACAACGACTGCTTAAGGTATGGAATGCATGGACATCACCAAATGCTAGGTTTCCTCCTTTGCAATGCTTTGCCAGGCCTTTTCTGCAACTGTCTTCAGTTGTTGTTTGTGGGTCAGCCAGCCTTAAGTTTTGACTTCAGCAAATGAAACACATACTTGATCAGATTGAGATCAGATGATCGACTCAGCCATTGCAGAATATTCTACTTCTTGGTCTTAAAAACTCCTGGGTTGCTTTTGCAATATTTTTTTCACTGTAAAGTGAGACGCTGTCCAGTCAGCTTTGATGAATTTGGCTGAATCTGAGCAGACAATACATCCCAATAAACTTCTGAATTCATTTGGCTGCTTCTGTCTTCTGTTACATCATCAATAAACACTAGTGACCCAGTGTCAATGGAAACCATGCATTCCCATCGTGTTTTAGAGATTATGTCGTATTCTTTGGATCAGGAGCAATCCCAAACCCTTGCCATATTTTTTTCTTCCCATCATTCTGGTACAGGATGATTTTAGTTTCATCTCTCCAAAGAATGTTGTTCCAGAACCAGCCTGGGTTGTTTTTTTGGCAAAGTCTAACCTGGCCTTTCTAAGCCTGGATTGTTTTTTTGGCAAAGTCTATTCTGACCTTTCTATTCTTAAGGTTTATGAACAGGTGATTTGTACCTTGTTGTGAACTTTCTCCGTTTGCTCACATGGAGTCTTCTCTTTTATAAACAGGTGATTTGTACCTTTTTGTGAACCTTCTCCGTTTGCTCACATGGAGTCTTCTCTTTTTGATAGATTTGGATAATTAATATTCTTCATTTGGCTGGATGTTCTTGAGGGTTCTTTTTATTGTGGAAAAGATCCTATGATTATCCACCACCGTTGTCTTCCATGGATATCCAGGCCTTTCTGTGTTGCAGGCTCACCAGTATGTTCTTTTTTTTTCTCTGTGTGTACCAAACTGATGATTTGGCCATTTCTAATGTTCCTGCTATCTCTCTGATGGGTTTATCTTTTTTTGCAGCTTAAGAATGGTCTGTTTCATTTGCATTGAGAGCTCCTTTGAACACATGTTGTGAGGTCATAGCAACAGCTTCCAAATGCAAATACCACACTTGGAATCCACTCTGGACCTTTTACCTCCTTAATGGATGATGAAATAATGAAGGAATAGCCCATATCTGTCTCATGAAACAGCTTTTGAGTCAATTGTCGAATTACTTTTGTTCTCTTGAAAAAGCTGCAATTTATAAATCCTTCCTCCAATTTGGATGTGAATACCTCAAACTGAAACTGAGAAGACTGTATTTTAAGCCAATATTCATCATTTAACTATACCATGACTTTATTTTAGTAAACAGCCAAAATGAGAAAACTTGCATCGAATTATTTCTGGGCCTAATTGTATAGAACTGTTGGAAAGCTCAGTGGCTTAGAAATCTGGCTGTGGAGCCAGAGGGGTTAGAAGTGGGATTCCATACTGTGCTTTCTTGACAGGGGCTGGACTCCATGATCCGTAGGGTTCCTTCCAGCTCTGCAGTTCTAAGATTCGTTGCACACTGGATTGTGCAACTCCGCATGCAACTGATAATGTTTACAGAGATTTTTTTTTCTTAAGGTAATTTGCCTTAAGTTATGACGTTTATATAGCTACACAAGAGGCTGTTGGCCAGAGATCTAGCATAGATTAATTATATTGGAGCCTTTTTGGTGTCTCAGAGCTGGGAAATGGACCATGTTAAAAGTAAACAGGAAACAGATGGGGATGGGAATGGAACGTCTTCAATTCATATCATAATAACTAATTTAGGAAACAGGAGTTAGTGGGAGCCGAGCTTTGGTGCATAGGAAAAACATATATGTGTGTGCTGAGAAATAAGTTCCATTGAACTCAGAGACTTATTCTGAGGTAGAGGTGCACAGATTTTTGACTGCTTGGAGAATTTTGGTAGTTATAGTCCAAAAACAGAAATCTGCACAGTTCTATTCCCAAGTAAGTTGGTACAGGATTTCCTTTTTTCCAAAATAATTGCTCTTTTCCTTTCCTTTCCTTTTCATCTCTTGTCTTTTCTTTTGTCTTGTCTTCCTGTAGTGTTGGAATTTGTCATATAATTCACCATGATCATGCTTTTTGCCATTGTAAATGCAGCTGTTCAGAGATTACCAAGTTAAAAAAATGGGGATGGCATCTTACTCATTGCTGATTGCAGTGATGCACATGTTGACCTTGTGGCTGCTGCCAAAAAGCACATAAGCGATAAGGATCTGAGCAATATCTCAAAGCAGTTATATTTTGTAAAATTGCTGTGTTCTTAATTTTCATGCTGTTTTAGGCAAAAGAAAAAAAGAAACAATTAAAGAAAGAAGGCAAGCCAACAAACATAGAAGAGGATGATCCAGAAGTAGTAAGTTAACTATCCGGACACATTTTGTTTTGCAAGATTGTAATATATTAAGTCTGAGATGTACCACCTTTTTTTTTTGAGGGGGGTCATTTGGAAGAATCCATACCTTGGGACACCTCAGGCCTGCAGAGACGTCTGTAATCACACTCCTCATGCCTCTTATAATCTGCTGCCTGGAGTCAGAAGTTACAAAAGATATGAGCACATACCTCCTCCTGTGGAGGCTTCACATTTGTCTGCCTACATTCACTTGACAATCACTATGGCTCAGAGATTCAGGAGCAGAATGACCTTTGAAGTATCTGAAGACTGCAGAAGAGGGGAAGCTTGTAATCACTGTTGTCCCCATGGCTTTGTCCATCTGCTGTCAAGAACAGCAGAGCCTGAGAGTACGGTATAAGAAACCCTGCCCCATGAGGGGCTCAAAATAGCCTTATTCTCTATTTTTCGGGCCGTTTTGAGGGTGGCGGAAGTTATTTTTCATTTGTTCTCTATAACATTCCAGCTACCCCTGGATGTAAATCAAGTTCAGTTGTTTAAATATTTTGCCTGCGTTTCAGTTTGGGAAGACTATAGGATTTCCAGACTGCCTTTTGCTTCAGAAAGGGAAGTGACTAGTCAGCATTGATTGCTTCCTTGCTATTTAAATGAGAACCAAAGTACAAATGCCACTCTGAGAGATGGTAAACACAAGTAGTACTAAAGACCCAGTCAGAGCAGTAGTGCATAATAATCCGTCTAAAAGTCACTCATGTAGCCACTTGAGCCACTCACTTCAGTGAGAGGAAGCTTGCCTGAAGAGAAAGGTCTTTGGCCCCATCTTTGCTGTTCTTCCGAAAGCAGGCAATCTGTCCTCCTGTGGGAGGGTGTTCCAGAGTCTGAGAGTAACAACAGAGAAGGCTCTCTCCTGTGTCCCTATCAGATGCATCTGTGAAGGTGGAGGGACCTCACCTGATGATCTTAAGACCTGAGCCAATTCATAGTGGGAGACATGGTCTTTGAGACAGCTTGGACCCCGGCCATTTTGGGCTTCATAGGTTAAAAACAGAACTTTGAATTGTGGCCAGAAACTGACTTGCTGCACAAGTGTGTCATGAATGCGAGGCAACTGCAAGTGTATCACTTTGGAAGGAAACTGCATAAAGAACATTTTAGGGCATTTAATTTGTGGCGCCTGTAGGTCTGACATAAGCATGGCCAACTGGCAGTGTTTCAAAAACTGCCATCTCAAAACCACTCTTCTGTCCTCATGGAGCCAGTTGTAGGCAGAGTCCTGGGAATGGGTCCCAACAGTGACCTTGGTAGGTGCTGGTATTCAGTATTTGCTGGAAGATGGACCTGATCTGTTCTGTTGTTTTTCAGATATAACATTAACTTGTCAAGAACATCATTTTAGCAGACCCAGGATATAGATATTCTAGAAACTTTTGTATAGTTTGTTTTTGTGTTAGCTTTTGCTACTTGTCTGCCAAGACTTACTGGTTTTAACTCCAGATTGAGATTTCATCCCTGTATTGGAATGCCATTGGAGTCTTAATACCATTGCATGATGGATTTTTATTAATGTTTGAGAGACTGCTATAGAATATTGCTAATTGTTTAATGAGTTGGTAGTACTAATTGTAGGCCTCATTTCTTGGCCTCAGATATTTCTCATTTTGTTCAAGCAGCAGGGTTATCTGATTCTGTAGGGAGGGAAAATCCCTAGCTTGTAATTTATGCAGACCACGTAAGTAATGTTAATGAGCTGAAAAATTAAATTGCAACTGGATATCAGTATAAGTAACTAAACTGGTATTTTTTACAGTTCAAGCAAGCCATATACAAGCAAACAATGAAGCTGTTTGCAGAACTTGAAATTAAAAGAAAAGAAAGGGAAGCAAAAGAAATGCATGAAAGGTAAGAGCACTGAATTATTGTTTTTGGTGAGCTGTTGGAAATCCTGGTGCACTTAAGCAGTGTTTGAAACTAGTTTTGGGGGATATCCAAAAGTAATAATGTGGATATTGCTTACACAGAAGAATTATTATTTTCAAACTGATTTTATAGCACTTAATTTGATAATTCTAAGCTTTTTTTTTAAGATAACCTCAATCGTGAGAGAAAGAATTTCAGGGTAACATTTGTATTTTGTCTGTTCGAATGAGTACAACAGAGAATTTAGTAGCACCTTAAGAAATTAACAAATTTTATTTGACATGGTTTTATGGTCTTTAACTCGTTTTATTAGAGTCATGAACCATTGATACACATACACAAATAAACTATCTCCCACTTTTTGTGTGTGTGTGTTGGGGGGTACAGAACAGTTTTGTGCAGATCTGAAGCATTTTGAACTAAGTACAGTTAAATTTACTTCATATTTCAGCAGTAGAAGAAATAGGTGATGGCAAAGCTAGACTGTTATGTTAATTCTGTTAATTATCTTGTGATAATTTAATACTGATGTGAGCAGTCACAGGGTAGGTATGTCATATAAATTTGAGCTCTGCATGAAATTGTTCCTAGTTTATATTGTCTGCACTTCACATTCGGCACCAGTGTTCACAATTTCTTTTTCCTCCTCTTTCTAAGCTCATGCCATAGCCAACATATCCTTAAGATGTCATGCAGCTCTTCGTTTTCCATGCAGTATAAGTTGTGTTAGGTAACACCCACTGAGCTACGCAGAATTTGAATCTGCTGTTTCTATGCCCAGATTGTGATGTGCTTTCTCCCTAGGTATTTATCTTAAGTATTTACACTGAGGGACGTGGTGGGTTAAACCGCAGAAAGCCTCTGGACTGCAATGTCGGAAGACCAGCAGTTCAAATCTACACAACGGAGTGAGCTCCCATTGCTTGTCCCAGCTCCTGCCAACCTAGCAGTTCGAAAGCATGTAAAAATGCAAGTAGATAAATAGGTACCTCTTTGTTGGGAAGGTCACGCTGGCCACGTGACCACAGAAACTGACTATGGACAAACGTTGGCTCTATGGCCTGAAAATGGGGATGAGCACCGCCATGGCCTTAAAATGGGGATGAGCACTGCCCCGTAGTTGGACATGACTGGACAATTGTCAAGGGGAACCTTTACCTTTCCGCTGTTACTACTACTAATCATCATCACATGGGCACAGACCCTGTTGAGTCAGGGGGGCTTGTTTACTTCAGTGAGGTTGAGACTGTTACTACTAATCATCATCATCACCCTGTCCGTGGGCACAGACCCTGTTGAGTCAAGGGGGCTTGTTTACTTCAGTGAGGTTGAGAGCTATGCTGAAGGGTCTCCCAAGTCAGACATATCTCAGCTGTGAAGCGGGGCCAACTGTGTCCACCAATGATTAATTATGATGAGAAGAAATAAACAGAAATTGATACCGGATTCGTTGTTGCCCAGGTCAACAAGGACCGTGTCAGATGCTATAGCCCCTGGGCATTGGTGACAGATGGGCTACAGGGCTCAACAGACCCTGTTGAGGGACCAGGACAGGCTGCTGCAAAGCTGCTGGAACAATGTAAATGCCAAATTTGGACTCTTGCCGAAAATTGAGAAATTATGAAATGTTATTACAAATAAAACCCAACAGCCCCTGGTTTTCAAAAAAGAATAAAGGAAATTTGGAAAAGGAAACACCCAAGTAGTGACACAACTGAATGATTAATGGACCAGAGAAGTTTTATCATCCTAAAGTGTTTTCAGAACTGGAATGTCAAGAACTAGAAAGGGTGGCAAAACACAGAACAATTACCATAATATGGAAGACAAATGGAGGATAGACACAATTGACACAATAGTGGAAGAAAACATATCAGTAGAGCAAGTTATGGAACAACCCAGAAATTATGAGTTGACAGAATGGCAGACATCACTGAAGGGAAAAATAGGAACCCATATTAACGAGAACATAGAAAGATAAAGGCTCCCCAGTTTGTGCCAATTACAAAGTAAATCATTAAAAGATCTACTGAATGATGCAGCTGTCATCAGAACAATCCCAAGCAACACACTAAAAGAAACAAACCAGCTCATGTACAGTACAGCTATCATAATAACCATGGAATTTGGTTATAAGCTGCAAACCCCCCAGAAAACTCATGGCACCCCAAAGTGGAAAATTTGGCTGGAAAGAAAAGTAAACAAATTGTGTGCAGATATTAGCAACTTAAAACACTTGAAAGATTCAAAACTTAAAAATGAAAAAGTAAAAGCCAAACTATGCAAAATACATGACCTAGAAAAGAAAACAATTGTTGAAGGTATGGAAGAATTAAAACAGTGGGTAACAGCTATAGCAAATTGAAATATATGATGGATGCTTGAAGCAATATAGAGAAAACACACAATTTCAAAATAACCAACTATTCTATACGTCACTAGGAGAAAATGCAGAGTAAATTTTCAGAGTAAAAATGCAGCGGATTGCCAGGCTGCGGCCCTACCTTGATACGGGGGCGCTCACTACCTTGGCGCATGCACTCATAATCTCGAGATTAGACCACTGTAACACGCTCTACGTGGGCCTGCCTTTGAGGCTGATGCGGAAATTTCAGGTGGTGCAGAATTGCAGTGGCCAGACTCCTTACTGGAGTGAGAAAACAACATATTTCTCCTGTTCTGGCCAAGCTGCATTGGCTGCCCATCCGTTTCCGCATTGACTTCAAAGTTCTAATGCTCACCTATAAGGCCCTAAACGGTTTAGGACCTCGATACTTGGCGGAGCGCCTGCTCCCACCAAGATCTACTTGGATCACCCGCATGAGTCAGGAGGCGAGGCTGAGGAGCCTGATGCCGAGGAAGGCCCGGAGGGAAAAGACACGAAGCCGGGCCTTCTCGGCGGTGGCTCCTCGCCTTTGGAACAACCTCCCTCCAGAGATTCGTGAGGCCCCTATGCTGGGTACTTTCAAACGCCAGCTGAAAACATGGATGTACATCCAGGCCTTCCCTCCTGTCAACTTCTGATTTCTTTTCCTTTGCTATTTATTATATTTCTGCACTATTTGTTACTGTTGTATGCTAATGCTTTATGTGTTTTAATTCTTTATATGTTGTAAGCCGCCCAGAGTGGTAGAATATACCAGATGGGCGGGATATAAATTGAATGAATGAATGAATGAATGAATGAATGAATGAATGAATAAATGAATAAATAAATAAATAAATAAATAAATGAATGAATAAATGAATGAATAAATAAATGAATGAATGAATAAACCTTGAGATAAAAAACACTGAGGGGAGATATGATAGCACTTTTCTAATACCTGAAAGCTGTCATGCAGAGGAGGGGCAAGATCTGTTCTCAATCCTCCCAGAGTGTAGGATACATACCGTATTTTTTGCACCATAAGACACACTTTTTCCCCACAAAACAGGGGGGTGGAAAGTCTGTGCGTCTTATGGAGCGAAGAAAACAGATTATATTTTCCTGTTTTCTTCTCCTAAAAAATTGGTGTGTCTTATGGAAAGGTGTGTCTTATGGAGCGAAAAATACGGTAATT